TTTTTTTTTTTGTGTCTGTTACCACTCTTTCTCGGCTCTCACTGAACCGATTTCTTTCAATGATATGTCAAAAGATCACAAATCGTATCTAGTCGAAGACATTACCCTCAAAAATTGAAAAAAAATCCCTCGTTCCCCGTAAATGGGGGAAACCTCCAAAAAATTACAAATTTAAAAATCGCTAATTTTCAAAATTTTTTCAAATTTTTACTAAAAACTGCCATAACTTTTTTAAAAATGAACATATCAATATATTTTTTTTTTATATCTGACCCTTTAACTGCCCACAGGAGGGATTTAAAATGACAACTTTTTCACAAAAAATTAATTTTTCCAACTTGACTTTTGAAAATGTTCCGGAAAGTCTGACACTTTTATATATATCTTAAATTAAAGCTAATGATTGATTGTATAAAAAATAAAAATAAGAACAAAAATTTTTGAAATTTTTTTTTTCTATTATATCATAAAATTAAAAATAAATTTACCCATTAATTATATTTTCATCCTTTGAGTGATAAAAAAAATTATTTAACTACACATTATGGTATTTTTTTTTAATCAAACAATTATTAATTATTTTCTTTTGAGAAAATTGAAAATATTCAAGTTTCTGGAAAAAAAAGTGTTTTATCCTTAACTGATCACTCTAAATATATTTACAATAGTTAATTCGTAAATTAATAAGCTAATTTTAAGCAATAAAAATAATTATCACAAAAATTCAAACTAGAGGAACCTAATTAAATTAACACACTAATTACAAAGTTCTACTTAACTTTGGTTGATTTAATATGGGCAAAAATATTATTAGATTAATTAAAGTAATTCAATCATACAAAAGTTAATGTACAAATATAATACATTTAAAAGTAAATTAAAAACTACCATTTATAACTTTATATATACCAAATTACAAATTTTTTTCTATTTAACTGAACTATTTCATAAATAAATTATTTTACTACATTTACTTATAACTATATTTTTAAAAAATAGCTAAGTTTTTAAACCCTCTTTTCCATCAGTTTTTCAACAATATTTAATAGCTATATAATAAAAAATAATTATTCTAAAATGTTTGCCTTATGATTTTTATAAACTGAGTAACAGCCTTAACACTATATAATGAATGTTATTCAACATATATGCTTCATTGAAATTATTCAATAAAATATCCAAAAAAAAAAAAATATTTTTTAAAATTTTTAATGTGAGGGCAGTTTTAATTGAAAATATTATTTCTATTTATTTTTATACAAAAATTAAGATATAATATTTTAGTAATATAAAAAAAAACTAATTAATTTTTGAAATATTATTTTTATTTCAACTTTAACTAAAAAAAAACAGGAAAGCCCTATTATTAAATAATAATTAAATTATAATGTAAAATAATTTATTTCGAGTTATAGATAAATAGTTTTCAATTTGTAATTGATAACTAAAAACTAATAGTTAAAAAAAATTCTACACTAAATAAACTTGAAATAAAACTTGTTTGCTCTATTTCTTACAGATGCATATACAAACAAAAAAGTACTGGATAAAATATTGATTTCATAAAATAAACAAACTGACAAGTCATTTAAAATCTCAATTATAGAAGTTTGATTGAAAATTTAGAGAAATACCTGTTTTTTTTAATTGATACTGATCATTTTGTACTTCCTCAATATGGCCTAATAATAGAATTTAAATTCTTTATTTTTAAAGCCATAATTTTTAATAGTAAGTTTTAAACCATTAAAATTCCATTTAAAATTACTCAATAATTTATTTAACTTACTTGGTAAACTTAATTTCCCATTAGATTTAATGAAATTTCTGCACAGTACATGCATAATACACATGAATGCAGCACCAAATGCGAAAATTCTAAAAGTTATAATTCCTCCATACAAATTGTATAATACACCACCAATAAAACTACCTAAAGATACACCTGAAATATTAAATATATGTGAATATAAATATTAATTTTTATTATAAAACTTATACAAAGAAACTTACCTATCCCCTCAAAAACACCTCCTACAAGACCTATCATTGTACTTTCAGTACCTGGTAACGCAATTACACTAGCATAAGACATAAGAACACTATATCCTAAGCCAAAAGTAATTCCATTTGATAATTCGATGGCAAGTATCCAAACTGGATTAGTCATTAAGGAATAAGCAAAAAATCTGAGAGCAAATGCACCCAAAATCAAAGACATACAATTTAAATGCCCTAAACGTTTCACAATCCAACCTGACCAGAAAAAGAATGGAACTTCTCCACCAAAACATTGAACGCCCATTGCTAATCCTTGTAATGTTTTAATCCAGGCTTGAGTACTACATTCATAAATTGATGCTATATCTTCTACATACCTAATTTATAAAAAAATTTAAGTAAAATCTAAATTTCAAACAATAATAACTTAAAGAAAACCTACCAAAAAAGATATTGCCAAATAATTGAAACACAAATACCAAATAATATTGTCCAAAGAAGAAAACCAAGAACTTTGATTTCTGTTAATAATTTACTAATATCTCGATAAATATTAGTAGAAATTTTAGTTTCTAATATCTAACAATAAAATTTACACATTAAATATTTTGTCAAAATATTTAACAGCAAAAATAATTACTTCAAGTTTTGATGCAGTAAAAAAATTGATAAGTAAAACTAATAGACATAAATAATATATTGGCATATAATTTTTATTAACATCACTTGAACTAAAGATATCCAAAAGCCATCCAGCAATTATAGTAAAAAAACCCCATCCAATAGCACCCCAACATCTCTGTTTACCATATTTATTTGGAGTATTTCCTAGAATGTAAACAAAATAATAAATATTTCATATTATAGTAAAAATAAATAAGACATAATTTAATGATCTCTATATGATAAATACCAAGTAAATCAAAACATATGGTATCCCCTAGACTATAAACTACTGCTTGACTCATCCAAAGCAAACAAACGAAAATAAGAAAAATCCAGAATTGATGCAATTCTAAAACACTTCCATTGTATTTTGCAGAAGTTATTAAATCCATAATGATTTCACTAGAACATTGTACTTCACATGTAGTTTTTGTAAAAATTTTGCATACAGGCGCATAAGTGATTGAGTCAGCTTTAGGAAAATCAAAAGCCGATTCTACTCGAAAGAAAAAACAATTTTTTACCTAAATAATAATAATATGATTAAAAGGATAAATTAACTAATTATCATTAAATTGTATGGCAAACTTTTACTTGTTCAGTATGATTCATCTGTAAAGAGATTGCTAAATCAACATATTTATCATTATTATTATACTGTATGTTTTCTTTTGAGTAAATTGGTCTTTCTGATGGTTCAATATCACTCACATTTTGTGAAGTAGAACAATCTTCTTGAAATTTCCAAGTTGAACAAAGTTCATTATAAAATTTTTTACTTTTTTCACATTTCAGCTATAGATAAATGTAAAATTAGATTATTTTCAAAAAAATGTAAATTAAAACTATTAAATTAATATTTCAATTTTTACAACTACCCTATTATTCTTATTTAAGTTTACTTAACAATTTATTTAAACATTTCATAATAAATTTACAGTTAAATTTTTGAATAAAAAAAATTAAGTAAGAATTAGGAAATTAAAGATTACATACACGTTATAAAGATTTTAAAAATATTCTGTGTTTATTTATAATAACTCTAAAATATTTTAATTTTAAGTAACAAATTTACAAAATAAGGTATTTATAGAGTCAGTATATTTCCCTTGTTTTTACATGATAAGTATAGAGATCTTAATTTATTTTCATCTATTTCTTCTACTATCCCAATATTTAAACTATATAATTAAATTAAAAAAAAAAAAAAGCTATAGATTACATTTGATTTAAAAAAATATATTTATAGTTAGTATACTTTTACAAGGAAACTCTAAAGTGGCATCGAACCAAAAATAATATACTTACATAAAATGAATTATAAGGTTGAAATAAGAAATATACATTTTATTAAAAAAAACTTGCAAATAAACAATCAAAAAGATCAGTATTAAAATTTAAAGTAATAAAAATATTTACTTGGCATATAACTAATCCATCAGTTGTATGTTTCATCACTCTTTGAGCATCACACTTAGATAATTGTAAATCATCATTCGGACAAACATTTAAATAAGTCAATTCATGACAATGCAATTCAGCTTTTGTATCCAAAGGTATTTCTGGTACGAACATTAAAGCAAATGATACCAATGCAGAAATCATAATAAAACTCAAAAATATAGTTTTTTTGACACGAAACTGATCAACTATAGCTCCAAAAATAGGTTTAGTAATTAGGCTTAAAATTGGTAGAATTGAATAAATAGTTCCAACAACAACTGTAGAATAACCCAATTGTTTTGCTATTGTAGGAAGAAATGAAACAATTGGAGCAATACCTAAAATAATACTTAAAACATTAAGAAATTATCTTTAATAATTAAAAATATTTTAAATATTTTCTAGTATTTATAACCTTAAAAAAATGAAGCTCAGAGAATTTAGACCATAGTTTATTTATATGTATGTATTATCATAACTCCAGAATACCTGAAGCGATATCAACAATTTTTAATATATTGATCAATTGCAAGCTAATAGACACAAGCATTGTTTTTAAAACAAGAAAGCAACTTTATAAATCTTTTAATTAATTGACATAAAACTAGGGTTCTTACATTTAAACACTGCATGTTTAAAAAATTAACTTTTATGAGACTTTTGAAACAAGTTTTTTAACAATTCTTGTCAGAACAAAAAAGAAATTTTTGGTTAAATGTCACTTATGCCAACTAGCATGTAAACTGGTAATACAAGATGTACCGCTAAATATGCCACACAGAATATCATCAAAAATATAAGATATAATATATTTTTTTCTTTTCAGAAATAAATAGTATTCTACATTCTGTAATTTAAAAAATTGTTTTGTCTTATCTTCTTCCCTCTTAAAATTTTAAATTGAAAAATATATTTAATCAGCTTAATAATAATAAAATTATTTAACTAAGAAAAATACTGGCAGTTAAAAGCTTTTAATTTAGTATTTTAAAAGATATTAACACTTTTATAACAGAACGGAAGATTTATTACGATTTATAAATACCTAGAGATCAAAATAAACAGATCTGTGCCTCTATTGTTTTGATTAAAGTGTTAATAATATTCAAAGTACATGTTCAAAAGTTATTATCAACCTATGATTTTCTTACTTGTAAGCGCAAGTCAAAATGCATATTTTCATTAATAAACTAAAGATGTTACAATTTTAAGAGAGGGAAAGGGAATAAAACTATATTTTTTTCTGTTATTTAAATGTGTAGGATACTAATTACTTCTGAATAGAAAAAAATTATATTCTATCTTGTACTTTTAATGATATTGTGAGACATATAATTTGTATATTACTCTGTATAATTTACATCACTGCAAAAAAGTATGAAGTGTCACATGACCTTTACACTCCAGATAATGGAAATAATAGGAGAATGTAAAAAAAAATAAAAAACTAACAATTTTAATTTTGATATCTACTGTACAAAACTATCAATTATCCTCAAAGAGTTTGAAAATTAAGAAAATTAAGAGCTAGTGATTTAAAACAAAGACTAAGTAGTAATTACTCCACAGTAATTCACATTTTATGGGGGGTATATTAATGAGAACATTTTTTACATCTCCTCAAAGATTTTTTAAATTGGGGCTAATACAAAAGTTTTAGTGATTTTTTACTTAAAAAATATTGTGTAAAAAATTTTGTGTCAATGAAGGGAAGTTTAGCCTTTTAGCTTCGATGCGAAGCTGAGAAGGTATTGGTTTTACTAAGATATGTTTTTTTTTTTTGTGTCTCTTACCACTTTTTCTCAGCTCTCACTGAACCGATTTCTTTCAATGATACGTCAAAAGATCACAAATCGTATCTAGTCGAAGACATTATCCTTAAAAATTGAAAAAATTTCCCTCGTCCCCCGTAAATGGGGAAACCTCCGAAAAAATTACAAATTTAAAAATGGCTAATTTTTTCAATTTTTTTAATTTTTTTTACTAAAAACTGCCGTAACTTTTTTAAATATAAACATATCAATATAATTCTTTTTTTTATAGATGCATAATGTTACCAATCATTTGGTATATATTTTTTATAAATCTGACTTTTTACCTGCCCACAGGGGGGGATTTAAAATGACAACTTTTTTACAAAAAATTAATTTTTTCAACTTATCTTTTGAAAGTGTTCCGAAAGGTCTGACACTTTTATATATATCTTAAATTAAAGCTAATGTAATATACTTTATCATGAAAAAAAAAA